TGGCCCTAAAAGGTCACGTGGAATGTCTTCTACTACGTCCGTACGATATTTGATTGGTATATACCTAACATAATGATGACTAATACAACAAACATTCTGATTTGTTATCCATGATTTTATTGGTGTATTTTAAGGTGTAAATGTTTTTCTTGACTGTGACTGGTTTATAAATATTGCATTTGATATTTTAGTGGAAAACGACACCTCATATACGTACAGTATATATATATATATATATATATATATATATATATATATATATATATATATATATATATATATATACTGTACACATTCCGTAAAAATGACAGCCCAAATGAAAATATTTTGTTATGTGCTTACCATCTTACAATTTTCTCATGTAAAACTTTATATATAGTTCAAATGTTACGGGTGTTTGGGATCTTATTAGAAATGTGACAAGGTTGCATTGCTGTGCAAAAGTAAGTGAACTCCGGGGTTAATATGATGTAATGAATATGCATACACCTGGCTTCCCCCTCACAGTAATATGATTGGCTGGTGTCAGCCATAAATACAGACTGATGTGGAGGTACAGGGACTACGCCTATAGTCTTCGCCTATTGCCTACCACTACGACGAGGACCAGTCCATTACGGTTACCTGCTAGATTGTCCTACCCGGTTACAGTAGTCGACAACCACTTTGCTACTTCGAACAAATATATCCCTTTCTGGGACATATCATAATATTAAGAAAACCATAGCATTGACGGCACAATGGACCCTGCAAGATACCAAGCAATTTTGAACGAAAATATCTTGCCCTCGAAAGTTGGGTTTAGTTAATATCGATCAATTGTGGTACTTTTGCAGAGAAGAATGGTAAAAAAAAAATCGACGCTCGCTACTGCCAGAAATTTCTTCAAAATTATAGAAAAATACTGGTCGAGGTCGTGAGCTCAAAAAAAGGAGTCACCAAATATTAAATGTAAGAGGTCACTTAATTTTGCACAGTTTAATTTTTCATGAATACCTGTATTCCAGCTTATGAAAATTCTTTGAAAGTAGTTGCAAATCTTTCTGATACAAGTTTTTCTTAATGAATATATATTTTGTTACGAGGCCCGATTTTGTACTACTTCTTTACACTTACACTATAAAATACAAAATCTAATTTAATATGATGACTTAAATCTGTAGCTCGTACTTTTACGAAAAGCTCCCATTTACCAAACACATTAGATTTCATAATAATAGAATGGAATTTTATAGAAGTCTCTAGAAACTTCTAATGGGTTCTAAAGGGTACAAAAAACATCTATAAACAGGAGCCAGTTGCCTCCTGAACCCACAGCCACGATGACTGAGGTCGATTCCGATCCCTTTTGATTCATGAACAAATCTTCGACCGAAAGAATCTAAGTTCCGACAGTCCTCAAAAGAAAAGGCCATCAGTAAATACTTCACCTTTTATTCCTTGATATTATTGACCAAACTCCTTTATTTAATAAACATGTGAATATATAACTATTTTTCTAAGAAGAAAATAATATAATTCTTTGACTAGCGACGAATTCCCATTCGTCGCCTTAATCTTAATTGTATAAGGATTTCCTTCTCCCACTGCTTCATATAGCTACACGTTAAGCTACTTTCTGGGCTCACATACGCTTATTAACTTGTTAGCATTTCCCAACCTATATTGTTTAAACCTCAGCACTAATGTTTATAAAACATATTGTATCTATTTCTATAAAAGGCAGGATGTTGTGTGTGTGTGTGTGTGTGTGTGTGTGTGTGTGTGTGTGTGTGTGTGTGTGTGTGTGTGTGTGTGTAACAAATGCACGGCCGCAATTTTCGACGGATTTACATGCACATGCTCCAAGTTAGCGGGAAGGCCAAGACCGATTTTGCATTTCCCAACTCCCATCGATAGTGGCAGTAATTGATTTTTTTCATGCTTCTACGGCAGTTTTCATGTAGTTTGCAGCCATTTTGTACTGGCCAGATTGAGAGCCAATAGCTGGCTGCCACGAATAGGCAGGAAGATTCTACTGGCCAGCGTCAGAGCCAACAGCTGACTGACACGAAGGTTAACTAGCATGCTAGCATGCAAAAAAATCGATAGCTGCATTCGTCACAAGTAAGAAAAATTTAAATCTGCATGACACTTTACTCCAATTGGCTCATTCGTTTGCTTAAACTCAACGTTGATTCTGATTCTGCAGACCTGGTTTGGGTGTGAAAAATTATTTGTTGTTAACATTCTTTTTTCATTCGGTTTTTCCTGTTACGGGTCCTTTTTTAAAGCTGATCGTTTTGTGTTCATTTTGTTTAGTTCTTTTTTCGTAACAGATTTAATGTTTAATATAGAGCTTAGAAAAATTCGCAGTGTGAGATAGACAAGAAGTAAGGCATGTAGCAACATCAGCACGGAAAAGGGCACTCCTTTAAAGGCAAGGAAGGGCAAAAATATTTTAAGTCAAGTGATAGCGATTGGTATATGTGTCGTACGATTTTTAAATCAAGCATGGACAACGCCGGGACATGCTGCTAGTTATATCTTAATTATTATAAAACCCAGGTTGTGTGTGTGTGCGTTTGTATGTGTGTGTGTCTGTTCGTTTATATATGGGATCCGATTTCCTACATTTTTCAACCGATTTCAACAAAACTTCACAGGACAGGCGGTGGTTCTGACAGCGCCAAAAATTGGAAAAACACAATTGTTTTTGCACGGAATTAATTTGAAAGCACGGGTAAGGGCCATTTATGCAGATTTTTCACAGTCTTTGGACGATTTTTTGTTACCAAGCCACCAAAACAAAGCAAATGGTCCAGTTTCTGATAGCACTAACGCATGGGGATCTAACAAGTACCAAATTGTTTGCAAGACTGTCAAAGCCCCTTGACCAGGGAACCATAAACGGGGGTACCAAGGGACAGGATTTAGCCCTCTGAACACACATTCACTGGCACAGTATGTACAGTTTTGGTTTGATTCAAATGAAATTTACGACACACTTGCGGCTTACTGTTGCCTTTATGTGTGTCAAATTTCAGAATTTTTCGGCAAAAATAACCGTAGCTGCACGCGGATCAATCTTTTTGTAACTTCCTTACACACACAGAGCTGCGTACAACCGAGTCCGCGTGTTGATACCGAGACTGCTGCAAGCCCATTGGTCACTTTCACAGAGCTTGACCTTGGGGCCTGTCCAGTCATCGCGCAGGATTTGTCACACGTTATAGCGCCGGCGTGATCGCACGTCAGCTTGTGTGTAAGTGCGATCAAGGTCAACCACCTCTATTGCGTGACTCGGGCGTGCTTTCACACTTTTGCGTTTATTGTTGCCCGCGTGCACGCACTTGGCTTACTTTATTCGCCTACTTCGGACACCGCAAGTTGTTGATTACATTTTCTAGCTGCTTTTTTGTTTTATAGTTCCAACCCCACCCCACACACGTTAGCCAATTGTACTAAAAACCCATTTCCTTTTGGATTTACCCTTGGTTTACCTTTTTAAATTTCCACTTTTTTAGTTTCGAGTTCCCCTTTAGTAACATCTGAACTCATTTTTCTGGGTGTTCCCCTTTTTGTGTCTACGTTAGCAGTGCACGTTTTTCGTTTTGGATTTGTCAGAAATCTCTTTTTTAAGCTTTACCCTCTTTGATGTTTTTTACTGTTTGGATGCCACCTAAAAGGAGGAAACTTTTGGGACGGCGCACGGCAGCTGCCTCCGCTGCTAGAGCAGCGAGGGCGAGTGAAACCCTGAACAGACTTCTTTGTGTCTTTCACGGATGGCCTCGAGCTCAGCTGCTCGCTTATCTGGAAGCGCCGATGCGCGGACTGAAAGTTTGGCTTCAGCGGCTTCAACCCTGTCCGCACGCCGCGCCAGGCTTTCAGTTGAAGAACGTTCACTTCAGAATTCACAGGACGCAGTCCGCGTGGCTAGGTTGAGGGCTTCACAGTCCCCAGCACAGAAAACCCTTCGTCGTTTGCGGGATGCCACCGCCAAAGCTTGCTCCAGGGGTTTAGAAAGCCCCGAACAAACAACTTCACGTCGTCTTAGGAATACTAGGGCTAAACCGCCTCTAGAGCTTCGGAACAACCCCAAGAAACCGCTCATCATCGTTTTAGAAATGTCCTATCCACCGCGTCTGCCAGAAAGCCCTGCACAGACCACTGTTCGTCGCGTTAGAAATACCCGCCCACTGCATCTGCTACCATAGACCCTGCACTGTTTGTCGCGTTAGAAATGCCCGCTCCATTGCATCTGCTAGAGCCCTAGAAAGCCCTGCAAAACCACTGTTCGTCGCGTTAGAAATGCCCGCTCTACTGCGTCTGTCAGGGCTGCAGAAAACTCTGAAGTACGCCGTCAACGGCTCGAAAACATTATAACCAACTTCGAGCTTCTTTGAATGGCGTAACTTCGCCGTCTGCGTCATTTTGGTCAAATGCCGCATACAATTATGACTGCACTTTCAACTATTCCGCTAGGAGAGACGTACAAATAGGGGCCATGGATAATGTTTGCACTTTTTATAACGCAAAAAATTGGGCCGGTGAGCAACCTGGGCTTTGTTGCTCTGGGGGCAAAATCAAACTTCCTTCTTTAGACGAACCTCCCCAGCCGCTTAGGGACCTCCTTCTGGGTACAACTTCGGAATCAACGCATTTTCTTGAAGCAATACGGAAGTACAACTGTTGCTTCCAGATGATGTCTTTTAGTGCGAAGGCTATTGAGGGGGGATGGATGCCTACTTTCAAAGTGCAAGGCCAGGTTTACCAATTAATGGGATCACTTTTGGCTGATCAGGAGAGCCACCTCAGTTCCTACAAATTTACTTTCTCGCAGACTACAAAGAGCAGGTTGATGCGCGTCTCGGCATTCTGCCTAGCGATATTTCCATCGGTCCCCGTAGAGACATTCTGTTCCGTCTAAAAGGACATGCTTCACGAAACTAACAGTTACATCCGAAGCTTAAAGTTTGCGTTGCAAAACAACTCTTTGCCCTCTTTCAGCGTTGTCATCGATGCAGACAGACGGCCTCACGGTGAGCATAAGACTTCAATCTCCTGCATGTAATGTCGCCGCAGTCATCCACGGTGAGGAGCATAACAGCCGTTTTGTCACAAGGTACCGGGGCGGTGGCCTGCGCCGCATCAGTGAAACCCACCGTTCATACGACTGTCTCCAGTACCCATTCTTTTTTCATACGGAAGATGGGTACCACTTCAAAATCCCAATATACCAGGCAAGCAGCGATTCCATGACGACCTCAAAGACGGTCTCCTGTAGGGCTTACTACGCCTATATGTTTATGGTTAGGGAGGGGTGAATTTAACCACTTGCACAGGTGCCGTCAACTATTTCTTCAATTCGCTGTTGACATGGCTGCAAAAATGGAGTCTGAGAGGTTAGGATTCATCAAGTTAAACCAATCCAAACTTAGAACCGACTCCTACATTCACCTTCGTGATGGGATGCGTTCTGATGGTGACCCACGCAATCTCGGCAAACCGTGCATTTTGCCTTCCTCTTACACCGGTGGCCCTCGATACATGCATGAAAGAACACAAGACGCAATGACCTATGTCCGTGATTACGGGAGGCCTGATTTGTTCGTCACGTTCACGTGCAATCCGAAATGGGTTGAAATCACACGCGAACTTTTTCCAGGTCAGCCGTACTCACACCGTTCTGACCTAATTGCCCGCGTTTTCTGGTTACAGCTGTGTAAGCTTATGGATTTAATCCATAAAGCGCAAGTCATCGGACGCGTTAAGTGTCATATGTATACAGTGGAATGGCAGAAACGCGGTTTGCCTCATGCCCACATTCTGCTGTGGCTCAACGATTAGGTTGACGTAAAGAAAATAGACGATTTTATTTCTGCTGAAATTCCGGATCTAGCGCTGGATCCTTTGCTCCACGAAATCATTAAAAACAATATGATACACGGCCCCTGTGGCGCGAATTATGAAAAAAGGTCATGTTAGTCAAGCGGCCCCACTTGCGCAAAGGGTTACCCCCGTAAGTTTATCTCAGAAACGCAGACTGCGACGGATGGTTACCCACTGTACAAACGTAGAAGCCCCGCTGAGGACGGCAGAACTGTGACAGTTAAGGGGCACACTTTGGACAATCGTTGGGTGGTCTTATTGCCTTGCTGTCTCAAGACTTTTGGAGCCCACATAAACGCAATTGCCAGTTGGTTAAGTCAATAACATCTGCAAGTGTTAATAAAGGACACTGCCGAACACCGGCATTAGGCTGGACACTATCTCAGATTTTTGCTCGACTAAAGTTCCATCCATTGGTTTCATTAACAGTTGATCGGAGAACAAAACGCCCAGCAGGTTCGTATCAGTGCACCACCCTAACGACTTTCATTCACAAAAGATTGCTAAAACATTGAGAACCTCCCGTCCTACTAATTTCGTTTAATTGTCACAAAAGTCGAAGGCGTCTACGAAATTCAGGCTTCTGCTTCCATATACACTTTACGGCTGCCATGGGTGAAACATATCAACCATACGGCTCTATTGTTTTGTTTGTAGTCGTGTAAAAAAAACTAAAAACACACGCCAAGTACGGCGACCCCGGTCGGTTTTCAGCCGTGATGTTGACTGCGACTGATAAGAAGGCACTTTTTCATTGCAATTACGATGCTCGGCCTTACGGCTACCCCCGTTGCGGTTTTAAGGGCTCTCAGCCGCGATGTAGATAGTGACAGATCAGAATAAAGGAAGTTATATCACAGAAATTTTCTTACCATGACACCCCGTCACTGTCTCGGTTTTACGGTTCTGCTTTGTGGTCGTGACAGCGCCGTCTTTTGGGCATAAGACGCGTCTTTTAGTTAGACAAGTGGTTTGTTTGTGATTGCGCACGGCACATACTTTATGTCTATGGCTTCTTCACGGCACGTTTTCCCTTCAATCCCTATGTATGTTGCAACTGAATCGTGGTTTCTTGACTACTTAGCACAAGTGCTTCCAGTAATGCTTAACGTTCCAATTGGTTAAAGCATTAACTGCTGTCAGCTTTTACTCACAGATGTCTTAGTAATGGCAAATGACTGATGCTACAACGGCGTTCCGTTACTTCCTTCGGTACTTTCGAATACTTGGGCCTGCATGATGTCTGCTTAAAATTTGTGTGCATTGCGTTTCAACGTTTTGTAGAAACTTACTTCCTGTCGACTTACAAAGCACATCCCCAACTCTTACTGTTACATCACCGGGCAATGCCGGGCTATACTGCTAGTCTTAAATAAAACCCACTTCTCGTTATTAGATATAATCTTTTTTCTTCAATTTTAATTTCTATGTATCTGGTTCTTCTTATATTGTGTTATGCCAGCCGTAACAATAGTTTAATTGAGATTTGTTGATTATCTGGAGGTGGCTCGGATTGAGGAATCGGGAAGACGAGTTCGAATTTCAGTCTAATCCATTACATTCATTTACGTACTATTACCCTCGGAAAAGGTATGAATCCTCTTCTCCCTCAGTCATGGATAAATAGCAGGACAGACCGGGTTAGATAGCCTTGGATGGCAACTTGTGTATCGCAGAAAAAATGGCAACCTACTGCGGGGAAAAAGAGAAGAATTTAATGCCACATATTAAACATGTCGGCGTTAAGCATTATGATTTGTGGCTGCTAAATAAGTTGGCATTGACGGTAAAATGGACTCTGCAACATAACAAGCAATTTTGAATGAAGTTGGGTTTAGGTCAGGGCTGGATCTTCCAACAAGACAATGATTAGAAGCATCAAAGGAAATGTATAAAAGAATGGTTTCGAAAAAAGAAATTTGGTGTCTTGGAATGGGCTCGTCAAAATCCTAATCTAAACCCAATTGAAAATCTGTGGTTAAAGAAGGCAGTACATGCAAGATACCCAACTGATATCGAGCAATTGTCAGAGTTTTAACAGGATGAATGGTAAAAAAGAATTAACGCTCGCTACTGCCACAATCTTCTTAATAACTATAGAAAAAGCATATTTTAATTAATATTTTTATTCCAGCTTGATATAAAATTTTGAAAATTCGTTTGATATATATAATTTTTTTTGGAAATTAGTTTGATAAATGTTTTTCTTAAAGAATATATAGTTTATTTAAGATTTGTTGATTATCTACAAAAAAAGGTAGTCATTTTTATTATTATCTTAGGTCAGTGGCTCCCAAACAGAGAGACGCAGCTCATAGGTGAGGCGGAAGAGGATAGCAGGTCAGGCGGAAAAGGATAGCAGGCGAGGCGGAAGAGGATATCAGGTGAGGCGGAAGAGAATATCAGGTGAGGCGGAAGAGGATATCAGGTGAGGTGGAACAAGATAACAGGTGAGGCGGAACAGGATAACAGGTATGGCGGAAGAGGATAGCAGGCGAGTCGGAAGAGGATATCAGGTCAGGCGGAACAGGATAACATGTGAGGCGGAAGAGGATATCAGGTGAGGCGGAATAGGATAGTAGGTGAGGCGGAAGAAGATATCAGGTGAGGCGGGAGAGGATATCAGGTATGGCGGGAGAGGATATCAGGTATGGCGGAAGAGGATAGCAGGCCAGGCGGAAGCGGATAGTAGGTGAGGCGGAAGAGGATAACAGGTGAGGCGGAATGATTGAAAGACAATCCAAGATTCAGGACAATGGCTGGTATCCCATCTCCACCACTAGCATTGTGGGGGTCTAATTTAGAGATGATGCCCAGAACCTATGACGGGGTTATGTGCAATTCGTATAAGCGACTAACATTTGCCTATCCCCGAGCCAAATACATGCTTATAGACTAATATTTACCGATCCCCAAATCAAGTAAACCCTTATAAACACAAATATAAACGACCAATATCTACCTATCACTAAACCAACCAATATTTACACATTCACCAACCAAATAAATGCCCCAGATACAAAGGACTAATATTTACCAATCCACGAACAGACTAAATGCATGTACACTCAAATATGATCGACCAATATTTAGTATTTAACCATACGCAAATCAAGAAAATCGAAAGGGTAAAACAATTTACCCTAGTAGATTAACTAATTTTTTTAAAAGTTTTCAGAAGGTTACCTAGATCTGTCGGAGTTAACTCCTCCTTAATTTCCTTATTGTTCACTAGGGCACGCTCTCCCTACACTACAAATACTGGGCGATTTCTTGCCTCGTTCTTTTTTTACTTAGTATTTCAGCGGACGCATTTAAAAAATGTGATCTCTCGCAGAAATTTGTGGTTTGCCCACTTGTGGGAAAACGCCATCAAACACACACACACATGTGAGAAACGAACATTCACTAAAATATGAACTCTTTACGTTCAAACACAAATTTTGATGTCATTGTCCATTGTAAGTTTTGTTGTTTAATACATATACTTGTTTATATATATATATATATATATATATATATATATATATATATATATATATATATCGGTCTTGTTTGTTTTTATTTATATATCTTTGGTTGGACTGAACTTCAGTCCGCCCTATTCTTGTAGTGGACTTTAATATTCTATCAGAAGTTACACACATGTTCCTAATGTAACAACACGTAAACCCACGGTCCGCTACAGATCGAAGATTACCTGAAGAATGCCGTATGTCACAACAGTCGAAACAAGGTGATCCTAACACTAAAAGTGTGGGCATTTGATCGAATGTAAACATAAGTAATGCTAACACCTCATCGCATAAATCCCCACAAAAATATGAATTTGTTCTATACACATATATACATTTTACTAAGTGAGCTGTTGAACTCAGCTGGCATAGCCCAAATAACGATCTGCCCATGTTGAAACGGAACCAGTAATAGAGGAATTTAATCAAAGAAACCAGCCTTCAAATGCTCGAGGCTTGAACATTAATCAACTAAATTCGTTTTTGTTTTCTTTAGGGACTAGAAAATATTTTACATGGTTCCATTTATACATTACAGATGGCTTTCTCGCCAGTGCAGATATTGCATGCCACCTATGTTGCTAATCGGGAATGTAGTCAGACAGGGGGAGATAATCAAATGATAGGCAATATTAAAATATAAGTAAGATTATGTTGACAAACTCTCCGAGCTAAAGCAGATGCCGCCAATGCATTATTATCCGTAAATTACTGATAAATATAAGCATGTAGGTTGATATAAAATATATATATATATATATATATATATATATATATATATATATATATATATATATATATATATATATATATATATACCAATATATAAATATTTATCTTTCCAAAGGCAAAATTTGTGAAACGATATTTTCGTTTCTTTGATTGTTTTCTTTACTTTTTCTTTTTTTTTTATTTCACTTATTTGTTTTCTTTTGTTTTTTGGGTTTGTTTTTTGTTGTTTTTTTTTTTTTTACATTTCTCTTCTTTTACTTTCTTTTCTTTTTCTGAATAATTTCTTTTTCTTTTATATTTCTCGTATTCGGTTTAACACCCTTTTTCTTTTCTCGATTCCCTTATTCACTCTTTCCTTTGCTTCTTTAATTTTTGATCTCCGTCTTTTCAGTTATATTAACATTTTCTTCTTTCATTTCGATTTTTCTGTTTCTTTTCTTCTTTTTCATTTCTTTTATTATTTTTGCTTTATCTTCACCTTTACCTTTTCTTTTTTTCTTTTCTTTTTCATTTCTAATTTAGCTAATTCATTTTCTTGATTTTTTTTTCACACCACTTATTCTTTTCTTGTTCCTTTTTCTTACCCTTTTTCTTTCCCTTTCTTTTTCTTTTTTCATTATCTCTTATTGTTTTCTTTTTCTATTTTCATTTCTCTTGTTCTTTTCTTTTTCTATTTCCTTTCTTTTATTATTTTCTTTTTCATTTCTCTTA